TGTTTTGAGAATGTCTTCTTTTGAGAAATGTCTATTCAGATCCTTGGCCCATTTTTTAACTGAATTATTTGTTTCTTGGCCGAGTTTTGTGAATTCCTTATATATTTTGTATATTAAACTTTTATCTGGCTTGTATAGTTTGCAAATGTATTTTTTAATTCATTGGCTGCCTTTTCATTTTGTTGATTGTTTCCTTTGCTGTGCAGAAGCTTTTTAGTATGATGTAGTGCTACCTTGTTTATTTTTCCTTTTGTTCCCTGTACTTTTGGTGAGATAGCCAAAAAATCCTTGCCAACATCAGTATGAAGAAGCTTTTCTTCTGTGTTTTCTTCTAGGAGGTTTTTGGTTTCAGATCTTATGTTCAGATCTTTTGAGTTGATATTTGTGTATGCTGTAAGATAAGGGTTCAGTTTCATTTTTTTTGCATGTGGATATCTCGTTTTCCCAGCACTATTTATTGAAGAGACTATCCTTTCCCATTGTGTCTTCTTGGTGGCTGTATGCTTGGGTCTATTTTTGGGCTTTCTATTCTATTCCATTGGTTTAATGTATCTTTTTATGCCAGTACCATGCTGTTTTGATTAATGTTGTTTTGTAATATAATTTGAAATCAGGACGTATGATTCCTCCAACTTTCTTTTTCAGGATTGTGTTGAATACTCTGGATCTTTGGTGGATACATACAAATTTTAGGATTGTTTTTCTATTTCCAGTAGAAAATGCCATTGGAATTTTGATAGGGATTGCACTGAATCTACATATTGCTTTAGGTAGTATGGACATTTTAATAATAATAATTCTTTCAATCTGTAAACATAAGATATCTTTCTATTGATTTGCAGCTTCTTCAGTTTCTTTTCACTTTGTCTTATGGTTTTCAGGGTATAGGTCTTTCACTTGCTTGGTAAATTTGTTCCTAAATATTTTATTCTCTTTGATGCTATTGTAAATGGAATTGTTTTCTTGATATCTTTTCAGATAGATTCTTATTGGTTAAAAGAAATGTGACTGATTTTTGTATGTGGATTTTGTATCCTGCAACTTTAATAAATTCATTGATTAGTTCTAATAGTTTTTAGTGGAGTCTTTAGGGTTTCTACATATAAGATCATGTCAATTGAAACAGGGATAATTTTACTTCTTCTTTCCTAATTTTTATTTCTTTTTCTTATCTGTGTGCTCTTGCTAATAATTCCAGTACTATGTCGAATAAAAATGGTGAGAGTGGGCAGTCTTGCCTTGGACTAAGTCTTGGAAGAAAAGGATTCAACTTTTCTCTGTTGACTATGATATCAGCTATGGGCTTTTCATTAATGGTCTTTATCATGTTGAGGAAATTTCCTTCTACACCTATTTGTTGAGAGCTTTCATCATGAAAGGATGTTGAACTTTGTCAGGTGCTTTCTCTGCATTGATTGAGATGATCATGTGGTTTTTGTGTTTTATTCTGTTAATGTGGTGTATCACATTGGTAGTTTTGCATATGTTTAAACCAACCTTGTATCCTACGTATAAATCCCACTTAGTCATGGTGTATACATTTTTTTAACCTGTTGTTGAATTTGGCTTGCTGGTGTTTTGATGAGAATTTTTGCATCTATGTTAATCAGAGATATTGGCTTATAGATTTTTTCTTGTGGTGGCTTTGTCTGGCTTTGGTATTAGGGTAATGATGGCCTCATAAAATGAGTTTGGCAGTGTCTTCTCTACTTCTATTTTTTTTTTTTGGAAGAGTTTAAGAAGGATTGGTGTTAGTTCTTTGAATGTTTGGTAGGATTCAGCTATGAAGCCATCTGGTCCTGGACTTTTCTTGGCATCTTGTTTTCTTTTTTTTTTTTTTTTTTTTTTTTTTTTTTTTTTTTTTTTTTTTTTTTTTTTTTTTTTTTAAATAAACCCAGCAACAGGCAGTTACAGAAGTAGAACAAAAAAGGCAAACATGTACAATCAGTTCTGTTTATCTTCTCCAGGTTGTTAGTTGATGGTTTTCTGGGCACCTTCTTGATTATCAAGCTCTTTCTGTAGCATAGCAGTTAAGGGGTTAGGACTGTGGGGTCAGCTAGAGCTGGATTTGCTATTCAGCTCCAGCACGTGAGAACCATGCACACTTGACCCCTAGAGCCTTAGTCTTCTCATCTATAAAATAGGTTAATAATATCTGACTTATAGCACTCACTCTTTAGTAAGCTACACATATTTTTGGACATCATTTTTTCCCTGCCAATAAAAAGTATCTGCAGTAACTATGGACCATAGGCCATTTTTCTTGCATACTCCTGTTTTTCTTCTAGTGTACCACACTTACTTCCCTTTTCTTCTCCTTCCCCTGTTTGTGCCTTTCCATTCGAACTAGTGCTCCCCTCTCTCTCTCTCTCAAAGGATTTGCTCACAACCCATTGTGGGAATTGAAATGCAGAAAATAAAACTGTGAAAGTGCTGTCTATGTCTGCTTACCTTGACATGTTTACTTTTTTGAACTTGTACTGTATAGGCTATTGGTGAAATTCTTAAGAAGTTGTAATGAACTGAAAAAAAAAGTGCTGTCTAAAGTTCTAAAGAGACTAATTAAAACCCAGGGAATAAATTTTAATAGATTTCACTTGAGTAGCTGCTAATTACCACTAGACGCTAGCTGCTGACTACTACTAGAGATTTATTTGGGAAGAGATTTCATGATCCTAAACTATTAAGGCCACTGTGCCAGCCATCTCTTTGAACTAATTTGTCTGGACAGACTACTCTCATTATTGGGCTATTTAAAGACATTTAGACTTTTTTTCGTGAGGGATGAGAGGGTGATTTTGCTCCTCATAAATTTTGTCTGTGAAAGTGGGTCGTATTGACCCAAGATAATTTTTTCAGAAGACTTGAGGGAGGGTCTTAGCCATGAGTTATTATTGACTCTTAGAGAAGTGACTCCTATATTATTTAAGGGCCCCAAACCTGGCCTCTGGCTTGGATTGGCTTGGATTCAGGCCCTGGTAGTTGAATTTGGGGCTGAGCATTTACTACCACTATTCATTGCTCCCTTCTCATTCTGCATCCTTTCTCCCCACCTCCTCTCCTTCCTTCTCTCCATCTTTCCCCTTTTTATCCTTCTCCCTCTGTTTCTCCTTCCTCTCCTTTCTTCTTCCCCTTTTCTCATCTTTCATCTCTTTTAGGTAACTGCACTCATCTCTTTGCTCAATGGAAATTATAATGCTTATCTTTCTCTCTCTCAAATTTTTGTTGTGGGATTACTGAGACCAAACAAAGGAATGGCTTTGGTATTGTGAGAAGCTTTGTGTGCATTTAGAAGTATCAGTCAGGTGCAGTGCCTCACGCCTGTAATCTCAGCACTTTAGGAGGCCAAGGAGGGAAAATCGTTTGAGTTCAAGAGTTCCAGACCAGCCTCTCAACAACATCATGAGGTCCAATTAGTACAAAAATTATAAAAATTAGCCAGTATGGTGGCACATGTCTGTATTCCCAGCTACTTGGGAGGCTTAGGTGGGAGGACCTCTTGACCCTTGGAGAGTGAGACTACAGTGAGCCTTGATTGTGCTGCTGCATTTCAGCCTGGGTGACAGAGTGAGACCTTGTCTCAAAAAAAAAAAAGAAAAAAAAATCAGAAGTATTATTTGTTGTTTCTGCATTTTCTTCCTCCCTACATGCCCATACTCCCTTATGATGTATAGTAAGGTAAATATGCCCTTTTCTAGTCAATAAGTTTATATTTACTAATAAGAAACTCCTGTTATGAGGGTCGCCATTTGTGGAGAGTTTGCTGAACCCCTGCTTTCATTTAACTCTGAATTTTGGTCTCTGTGGAAGACACAGAAATCAGATACAAGAGCTACCAGGTGCTGCTAGGCTGTGAGGGATTTAGCAGATAACAATCCTCCTCCTGTTTGGGAATCCTGGCGATTCCCTCTGCCCATTCCCATTTCAATGGTGCTACCAATTTGTGCACCATTTACAGAAGAGGCCAGAAATGAAACTGCAAGTTTTTTTGATCCAAGTAAAATGACACTGACAATATCTGGGAGGGAGTAGGGACTCCAAGTGAATATTCTGAGGTTATCAGGGTTAATATCTTGTTGTCAGAGCAGCCATTAAAGAAACGCTTGTACATGGCTGCTTGCATTTGCCTTTTGAGCATCCCTTCCTTCCCTCAGTTTCATTTGCCTTCCTGTGATGGTGCAGTCGCAGTGTGTCTGTCTGTCTCTCTCTTCCTCTCTCATTTTCAAGTTTCACCTGTTTTAATAAATCTGTATATCACATATTTATTTACCAACTACAAAGCTTATATTGGATCCCCTGTTTTGGTTTCTCTTGCAACCAGTTCTTCCATGGGATACTGAGACTTGGGAAGTTCAAGTAAAACCACATATTCATTAATCTCCTGTTGGTGTCTGCTTAAAATGGTAGGGTGTTCTGGAAGCATTGACCAAGTTTCACATTGTTATGAAGGCTTCTATGTGTGGAGATCTCCTTTTATTTTATTTCGTATACAATCATAGTATGTCCTTGAATCTAGTGGAGCAAGCTGCTTGTGAATGGGAATGTTGCTGTTGATTCTGCTCCTTTCCAAGTCTTATAATGTCTGGGGAGTTAGGTATAAACTCCTGCACACTGCCATGCTTCCTTTAACTTAAGAAATCTAGATGATTCAACACACAGGTTCTTCTCTGCATTTGTTTTAACTGCAGAATGGTCAAAATTACTACTTTGTAAATAGGTTTAAGTGAATGAGGAAAGGGTCCATAACTATTGTTACTGTTAGTGCCTAAATGATGTGGGCAGATCAAGCCACCCACTCCAGGAGTGTGCCACTTATCACTGTTGACAGTAATTACCTCAATGGCTGTTGGGCTAGAGCTAGTGTTTCTGGATGATGTGAAGTAAACATCTCTCCAATCCAAGGAAGGAATAACCTGCACATTTAAACCTTATCATCTGATTAACTGGAGAGTTTAGCAAGAAACCTGATAAAAGTAAATAACCTTGTACCTCCTCAACAGAGAGACGGAGACCTTCCAACTTCAAAGAAAAAACGCCAGGCAGGGGAGAAGATTATGTATACTTTGGTTTCAGTCCCACATGGCAATGACATTGCATCCCTTTTTGAACTTGATGCCACAACTCTTCAGAGAGCTGACTGCCTGGTTCCAAGGTAAAAAAAAAAAAAATATATATATATATATATATATATATATATATATATGGTTAGAAGGTTTCTTTGAATAATTAGTAGATGAGGAATGAGAATAATATATTTTTATGATATCAAGGGAGCAGGCATAAATAAAGACAAAATGTGTAAATCATTTTTCCTCTTCTGTAAGAAGGTTAACATAGTTTGTTTTATTCATATAAATAATTAAAATATGCAGGACCAAAGAAACTCTGAAAAATTTATAAGAATCATTTATTCTTATTACTTGTATGGCCTTTGGTTACTAAAATGAAAAATAATATAAAAGCATTTCTACTTATATATTTATCATTTATTTTTATTAGTTCAGATTTCCCATTTCATTCATTCATTTGTTCGGTTTTGTAATCATTCAGTCAACAAATATCTATTGAACATCTGTTACGTTTCAGGCATTGCCCTTGGCATTGGGAAGACAACAGTGAACAAACTAGTTATATTCTCACATTTAAATGGGGGAGACAGGCAGTAAACAAAACAATACACCTAAAATATTAATGTAAAGTTAGGTAATAAAAGTGCTTTGAAGGAAAAATGGAGGGTATGGAGAGTTCCATTAGGTAGGAGCGTTCAACTGTGGTCTCTCTGAGTTAGGACGTTTGAAGGATGATCTGAATGAATTAAGGAATCAAATCCTCTCTTTCTGGGAGGAACATTTCAAGCAGCAGGAACACAAAATGAAAAATCTTGAAATTTACTGGGTGTTTTTAAGGACCAGTGAGAAGGCCAGAGTAGTTAGACAAAAGTGAGTGAGGGGGTATGGGATTGGAAATGAGATTGCCAGAACTTAAGGTAAGACAGCATCTTTCATTCTTTTGCTTGAATTTGACTATTTTATTTTACTTTTAATTTATTTATTTATCTTTTTTGAGACGGAATCTCACTCTGTTGCCTAGGGTATAGTGCAGTGGCACAATCATGGCTTGCTGCATCCTCTACCTCTGGCATTCAGGTGATCCTCCCACCTCAGCTTCCTGAATATCTGGGACTATAAGCACACACCACCATGCCCTGCTAACTTTTGTATATTTCTGTAGTGATGAGATTTTGCCATATTGCCCAAGCTGATCTTGAACTCCTGGGCTCAAGGGATCCACTCACCTCAGCTTCTCAAAGTGCTGAGATTACGGGCATGAGCCAATGTGCCGATCCTGAAATTCATTATTTTAGTTTAGTTTAGTTTATTATTTAGTTTTTAATTTAGTTTATTATTTATTATTTCATTTTTTTTTGTCTACAGCTGTCTGTCTTTCAACCATAAGGCTATGATGTACTCTCTAGATGCATCGAGAGGAGTCTTTTCTATGTTAGTAGGGTTAGTGGGATGGTTCTAAATTGGCCTTGATGAAGCAGTATTGTGCTTGGCCTTGGCAGATGGCAGTGGTGAAGCTAAAGACACTTGTGCAAAAATGCAGACATTGTGTGGGTTTCCTCCAGGGAGGGTAAAACATTACTGTAATAACACCACTGAGAAACATTGCTGGTAGAACTTCCCAGGGTGTTTTATGGCTGTTCTCATTCATGAGAAATGTTGCTGAATTTCATACCTTATATGAGTCTATCTCTTTTTTGTTCCATCAGTCCTCTCTGGTTTTACCTGACCCAGGTCTCTGGCTTTCTCCTCCAAGCACTGGGAGCTTAATCAATCCTTACTATGACTTTACTTATTTTAGATTTAAGTCAGCAAAAAGGGAGTCCCTCTTGAACTCTAATGAAGAGAGTTTGCTTAAGAAAGTGATAAAAGGGTTAGAGCCTAGAACCACAATGAGGGCCCCCAAGCCTCCCTTTATATGGAAGCATTAATGTATTACTTTTCAGAACTGTGGAAGCTCTATTCAATATAGTGCAGTATTTTGTATTAATATGGATTCGTCTGTTATTAATTGTATTAAAGCCAACACTAATTAATGCTTAATAATAACTACTATCAATATAACTCTTGAGCACTTTGTATGTGCTAAGTCCTGTGTCAAGTTCTTAGTATATATTGTCTTACTGAATCCTGACAGTAACCCTTACAGATCACGAACTAGAGGCTGAGTTCAAATAGTGCTTCTCAAGTTGACTGTAAATTAGAATCGCCTGGGCAGTGTTGACACCTCACCATACCCTGGCCACATTGAGACCAATAAATTGGTCTCTTTTTAAAGAGGGCTTTATTCTTTTTAAAGCATTCATTACCCAAGTGATTCCACTGTGGAGTCCAGTGTTTCCCAAACTTTAAACTCTATAGTCCAATGCTGCTTAAACTTTCTTCTGTACCAAATCACTTGGGGACCTGATGATAACTGAATACAAATGACATCTCCTGTGTAATTCAATGCAGAAGACGCTAAGTGATAAAACAGAGGCATTTCAGAATTTCTGGTTATTTGAACAAAGATTGGAGGACTGCTATTTTAGATTTTTGAAGCTCAGTTTGTGTTTTATCTGCTTTTATAAAGGAGCAGAAGCAGGTTGTTGAATGAATCTCTTTACCTGAGGCCCTTGGCATTTTATTTGGTTTCTTTTCTTGGCCCTAATGCTTTTAATCTTATGTTGTAAGACATATTTATGCCTTATGTTTACACTGATCTCTAAGCAACTTGAAGGCAGAGTACTTAATGTTCTTCTTTTAATAGACACTATGCACATATTTGTTAAAAAAAAAGATTATAAAAGATTTACTAAAAATGGTAATATTTGAGTAGAATGAAGTTCTAGGTGTCCTTTCTCACACACTCTGTCACAGTTCATATCTAATCAATTTTTTAAATTTATGGTACATGGAATTAGCAAATACTGAACCATTGTTCCTAGAGGAACTATAGAGTTAGGTTCCTGTGAGCTTCTGCTCACAACATTTTTGTTGACCAATACATAGCCTTGTTTTATGTGTGTTTCTCCTTAAATACACCTTATTTAATAAACATTGTTGATTCTTTAACATTGATCTTGTGGTCAACAGCATTATAACTCATGCATGAACAAAGTTCATCTAACACAGGTATTTTCTTTGTAAAGCACATCACAGCCTTCTTGTGTTTAGGAACATTAGACAGCACTTCTACACCTCACTTGGGGGCCATCTTAAACATCAAAATCACCAACAAAAAGCCCAGAAATGTGAAAAACATGGCACTAAATAGACCACAAAAAGAAGACTTGTTTATAGCATGATTGGTGAGACAAGAAGGCAGAGCATCACCTTGTTCCACTTCAGCTTAGAAATGTGCCTACTGGGCCACTTAAATTTTTACCATTCTGTGTTTGTCCTGGAATGACCACAAAAGCTCCATGGATATTGATTTGGGGCCTACAAATAAATTTTAGTGAGCATAAGAATTCACAAGTACAGAAGCCACAAATAATGAGGATAGACTGTATATTAACAGTTTCACATGCAGATAATTAAGCTGCACAGAGGACTATTGTCTGCCAGCCGTGTTAACTGAGTTGGTTATTTGATCAATGTTCTTAGCTTAGCATGCCTCAGAGCTGCCTGGAGAACCTATAGAACTACTCATTGTTGGGCTCCACTCCCAAAGTTTCTGATTCAGTAGATGGGAATGAAGTCTTAGAATTTGCATTTCTAACAAGTTCCCAGGTGATGCTGATGCCACTGGTATAGGGACCATACTTTGAGAATTGGTTAGTAATAATTATTACTGGCTTAGTAATAATGCTGCATGCTTTGGAATAGTCTATAATTCCGAATTTCCCCTTAAAGCAAAGGGATCTTGAGTCAATTACTAGTTAATATATATTTATGTTCATATCATATATGAAACTGTTAAAGATGTCAATATGTAAATGTGCTAATTTTTAAATAATTTTTTTATATTGTTTTCATTTTAGGAACTCATATGTTCGGTTAAGGCATTTATGCACCAACACATGGGTAACCAGTACTAGTATCCCCATAGACACAGATGAAGAGAGGCCTGTTATGTTAAAGGTAAATATCACTGAAGATGGTTTAATTTTCAACCAAATGCCATGCAAATAAGATTAGGGTAGAAATGCTGTGTAGCGTGTTTGTTACACTCCATCTTCACCAATATTAATTAATTTCATCAAGCATGTGTGTCTGCCAGTTGCTTAGGTAGCTGATCTAAATGGGTTGGCTACAGCAAATCTGTGATTCAGGAGGATGCTGCAGAGACACCAAAAAGAATGGTAGCAGCATGTGGGTGGAGGAGTAAAATCCAGGAGGGCCTTTTCTTTACTCGGTTAAAACTGAGGCAGAGGGCAAGTGTGAAAGAGAGAGGTTTCTAGTGGGGCTTTGGGAACAGGGCAGGAAGTGGGCACAGGAAATCTCTGTGTCCCTATAGCCTTTCATAGTGGATGATGCATGTGGGAGGTATTGTGTTTGGATTATCTATTCTTGCCTTATATTTCTTAAACAGTACTAGATGTGTTAGTCCTTGAAGAATATTGTATACTTAGTTATAAAACTAATATTAATGGAAAAACACATTTCAGATTGGGACCTGCCAAACCAAAGAAGATAAAGAAGCATTTGCTATCGTGTCTGTTCCACTGTCTGAAGTTCGGGACTTAGACTTTGCCAATGATGCCAACAAAGTACTAGCGACCACAGTTAAAAAGCTAGAAAACGGCACGATAACTCAGAATGAAAGGAGGTGAGTGGCTTTTAAAAATGGCTCTTAAATAATCAAGAGTCAGTTGTCAATGCTTATAGTAAACCTGAAGTGAATGCATGACTCTAGGGAAATATTTAGAACATTCTTGATAGCACACTTGTTTCTGAATGACATGGGAACTTGATTCCTCTTGATCATGGTGAGTGAATTAAATGTGTCGAATTTAAATCTGGTGGAATGTTTACTTGTCCTATTTTAGCTTTGCATGAAAATAGTTGTTTTAAGTTACCTTCTGATCATACTTTTAAAAATCCTTTGTGAGAGATTTGCAATACTTTTTGCTGTGTGTGGTTTGATATTTGGATTTAGAGTTCCAAAGGACCTAAGTTTTGTATTTCTCTGATCTTATTTTTTCAAGACCATGTCTCAGCTCTGGTATCACAAAACAAACAGATATGTAAAACCAGAAAAAGTCTATAGGGTGTAGCTCTCTGTTCTCATAGCTTGTTCAGAGAAACTGGATCCTTGATTCTTAAGCTCTGGTTTTGGAAATAAGTGAGAAATAGAATGATAATGACACCTAGTGATTATTGCATGCCTACTTTGTGTCGGTTACTAGTTTGGGCACTGTAAAGATATTTTATCTAATCCTTCAAATAGCCTTGAAATAGGTATTCCTGTTTTACATAAAGGAAAATTGAGGAGGGTAAGTAAACAAGGTAAGGCTGCATAGTTACTAAGTGGAGGTTTCAGCCACGTATGGTTTAAAGCCCATATGCTTTCCAGTATTCCCAAGCACAAGCATCCTCTGTATTTCCTTTGTTCATGATCTGCTACATGCCTTTTAATTTGAACAAGAAAAAGCTATTTGCCAATTTCCCAGGCATTCAGACATTGGAGTTCTCATACACAGCTGGTGAGATGATAATTGATATATGCACCTTGGAAAATAGTTTGGCAGTAACTAGAAAAATTAAAGAAGCAAACACTCTGTGACTCAGCCAATTCCACTCCCAGGCTGAACATTCTCAAACATCTGTCCAGAAGACTCTCCTCCACATGTGTACCAGGACACATGTTCAAGAATGTTCAGCTTTGTTTGAAATAACCCCAAATGAAAAACCATCCAAATGTCCATCACCAGTTGAATAGAGGATGGAAATTTTGTTATTTTTGTACAGTGGAACACAGTTTTGCGATGAAGATAAATGAACTACATCTATGTGCAATGGCATGGCTAAATTTAACAAATGGATTGGGTGAAAACTAGACACAACAAATACATTCACTGCAATACTATGTCTAACATTCAAAAACAAGCAAAAACAAACTTCATTTCTTTGGGGGTGTTTAAGCAATTAGAAGAACCATAAAGAAATACAAGGAAGTCATTATGACAAAAATCAGGATGGTGTTTCCTCTTAGAGGGGAGGGGGGAATTAAGCTCCCTGAAGGTCTGAAAGGCTCCTGCAGGGTTCCATTTCCTGCTCTGGGTGATGACTTCATGGGATTCACTTTATCAGCAGTCGTTAGCTAAACCTACATGTTTTAGAACATTTTAGATATACATCTTATAATACAAAAAATAAAAAATCTAAGTTTGCTTCCCTTCATCCCTGTCAATTAAAAAAAAATCCTAAATATGCAAACAAATGGAATAGCTGTTTCTCAGCTTCCTCTCTGTTCTTATCTTGATTTTTTCCCTGGCAAACTTGCATTTTAAAACAACTATTGTATATTCAGTCATATCTCCAATCCTGTTAGGGGAGATGAATAAAGGCCAGAAGCAGGAACAACTGCCCCACTTTTTTGGGCTATAGACAATTAAATATCAAAGTTAAATTATGGCAGGAAAAGGATGCTGATGTGCAGTTAGGAATTTTTATTTGCCTGTTATTGATCTAACTTTTCTTTTTGATGAATCTATTTCTTTGTTTCTGACACTTACATATGCACAGAAATTTGCTTGGCTTCACTTAAAAAGTCTCCCTTTCTAAGCATTAAGGTATTCCTTGAAGAAAAGGACAGATAAAAATTCAGATTATGGGCTCTCCACCATCAGTGGCTGGAATCCTGTGCAAGTCACTCTTCTTCAGTCACGGATGGAGATTATCCTAACCTCTCAAGATGATTCTAAGGAAAGTAGTGAACTAGGACTGATTAGAGAGCATGCATTTTTATTTCCTTTGCTTCTTTCCCTACTGTTTTGGAGTGAAAAACATCGTATTAATAGCAAAGAGAAGGCTTTGCCTAAGAAATATGAAGGCACAATTATTGATCTTAATTTAGTAATTTTAGAAAAGCTACCTCCCATCAAAATTCATTCAAAGCTACCTGTCAGCAAGGGAGAGCTTATTAGCAGAGTTGAATGCATTTATATAATTTTTTCAGTTTTGGAATTGAATATAAAATCATTTCTGAAAATAACTGACAACTCTGACGTTTTTCCCCCTATGGAAAATGAAGTGATTATTATCTGTCTCAGAAAGCCTGTGTTGTTTGAATCTTTCTCTCTCTCTCTCTTTCCTTCTTTCTCATCCCAGGAATGAACGTGAACCCTGGAGGTACAGCTCCTGTGTACAGCTTCAAGATGCTCAAACCTTAGATATTTTTCAGTGGAATTTTCTAATCTTATTCTATGTAGTTGTACCCACAAAACAGAGAGTAATGGGAACATGCTGTCAGGGAGGGAGGAGGGAAGATTGAGGGATGCTAACTGCATCCAGAACTTGAGGAAGTGACATAGGCAGTTCTTGACCAGCATTTCTGCACTATATTTACCTCTGAGGCTACACAAAATACAGGGGTTCCTCTCAAGTAATGAGAGTTCAGAGATGTGATTAATTTAGTTTTGCTGAACTCCTGGTATGTGCCAGGTACTTGGCCATGCAGCATGGGTATATGTGGTAGTGAAGGCCACAGACCGTTCCATGTCTCTGTGAAACTTACCTTCTTGAGGGATGGTTCTCATTCCGCATGATAGGAGCTCAGGATCTAGACTGGGGGTCATCCACCATGTGATCACCAGGTCAGATGTCTTTCTGATGCTGTTTCCTGAGCAATATCATTTTTTCTTAAATTTTATTTGCCAGGTATGACTATCCTGACACCAGCAACTTTTTGTTTAATATTTGCCTGATGTCTCTTTATCTTCATCTTTTCAGATTTCAGATTTCCTGATCATTTTGTTTTAGTTGTGTCTCTTATGAGCAGCAGAAGGTTGATTATAAAAATCTAATCTGATAGTCTATTTAATTAATTAATTTATTTATTTGTTTATTTATTTGAGACAGGGTCTTGCTCTGTTGCCTAGACTGGAGTGCAGTGGTACAATCATGGCTCACTGCAGCCTCAACCTCCTGTGCTCACGTGATCCTCCTGCCTCAGACTCCCAAGTAGCTGGGAACACAGGCATGTGCCACCACACCCAGCTAATTTTTTGGATTTTTCTAGAGACAGGGTTTCGCCATGTTGCCCAGGCTAATCTCAAACTCCTTAGGTTAAGCAATCTACCTTTCTTGGCCTCCCAAAGTGCTGGGATTATAGGCGTGAGCCACCATGCCTGCCACTGTGCCCAGCCTATAATTTTTATCTCTCAGATTTTTTTGCATATCTGCCTATTTTTCATTTATATTGGCCCTTTTAAAATATGTTGTCTTTTTAATATATTGCTTTTTAAAATCTCTTTGAAGACTGAATACATACTCATTTAAAACTTATTTTGGAATTGTTTTGTTACTTGGATTTTGTTGGTGGAGAAGTAGCCTCCTGATGCTTTAGTATGGTGGCCACTACTATTTAGTATGGTGGCTAATTCCTCAATGTCAGCTTTCCTTAGGTGCTTTGGACTTTTACTGTGGATGATTTTCTTAGGTGGGAGATTTTTGTTTTTCCTTTCTCTACATTCACTTATCTTCTCTATCAGTTTTATGGTAGCTTCTACCTGGCTTCCCTCAACTATTACAGAGCCAGATCTGATATCAAGGGCTGAGAGTTCATGTTCTCTGGTAATTTGAGGCTTTGATTATGGAGATTGCTGGTGGCTGGGTCCAGTCCTATCCATGTGCGTCCATTGTTTCCTCCTATCACTGCACAGCCACAGCCCGAATAAGGGCCACTGAACTTTAAATTTTCTTTAAGAGGTTAGAAAAGCCCAGTGTTAGTTCCTGCCTTCATATCTTTAGTTTATTTCCCTATCATGTGCTTTCTGTCCCTCTTACCTTGCAAGAGTTGAACATCATCCCTGCTCTTCACTGTGTTTTTCTCATTTTTTTCATTTTCCATAAAGCTTAAAAAGCAAATTAGTAAGATTGCATGAGTTAATAGGAGCACTGCCCAGTATAGAATCAGAGTTTGATCTAAACTGAAAACGAATCAGCTTTTTGTTTTGTCACAAAGGGGATGCTTGAGGTGCAAGGTCAAAAAAAACAAAAACAAAAACAAAAAAAAAACAAAACAGGTTTCGACAGTTTCAGAGGTCAAAAGAGAAGATTGGTCAGGATTCCTGGCTTCCATAGCCTTGTCATGAAGAGTTGGGTGCTGCATGTAGGGTTAATGTGTCGTGATTTGCAATTAAGACTGTTAATGTTCATCATTACCATTCCATTGACCATCACCAATTTTCAGGGCATTTGAATGAATTTGAAACAGAGCGATATGTAGTCACTCACAAAATTTTACTTTCTTAGATATCTAAATATTTGATTACAGTTATTGAAACAGCAAGAGAAAAAGAATCTTAGTAATTTTTAAAAGAAAATACAAACATTGATACTCAGACTGGAGTTGTATTGAGCACATAGAAACTGGAATTCAACTTTTTTTTCAGTTTGCTGAAGTAATCTGAGCTCCAAATTTGTTTTGTTTTAAGAGCAACAGAATGACTTGGAGGACCTTAAGTTACAATTTCAAAAGAAGTTCACATCACATTTCAATGCACATGAAACATGTTTTACGTTGCTGTGGCTGCCTTCAGAGATTAAACGTAACCATGTCAGCGAATCCTGCCAGACAAGATTTTCCAAAAGAAACAGACTAGGTTAAAATTTAAAATAGGCACACCAGGAAAACATAGAATCCATGGAATTTTGGAATGGAGTTTATGATCCCTGGAAGTATACTAAAATTTCTCTGGGTGACTAAATTATGGATTATAGGTGTGTCCACTTGGCTCCATGAAGTGTATTCTCTTTCAAGACATAAATCTGGAGATAGGATCAAGATGTTTTCTCACCAAAGGTATTGAAAGAGAAGAAAACAGATGTTTTTCAACTGAATACATTCTGTACTTTCCTGGAATTGTTGAAACTCTTAAAAGATAGTTTTCTTATGCATGTATTCATGATTAGCATCATTATATTCACATGCTAATACAGTAACAGTGAATAAAGATGCTAACACTATGTGGATAAAGCTAATTTAACTATTTATTGGTCAGCTTTTGTCTTATTCCAAAAAAATTCTGTGTTTATTGAATAATTAAGCTGTACTTCACCATTAATACAATTTAAAAAATGCCTTGACTCTTCCAATACAGATTCCTCATCTGTTCACCCATTTTTGCAATAGCTTGAACCCCTGCCCCCTCCCTCAATTGACCAACACAAATGTAAAATGACAAAGAGCAGGCAAAGGAAGGAGGAGGAAAAAAGTGAAGAGAGGAGGGGCTTTCAAGACACTTCCTGTACTAAATGCCACTGAAGTTCAAGTAATAGTTGTAATAATAACTATAAATATAGATTTAAAAGTGAACATTTGTGTATGGTTTTAGAATTTCATGATTTTGATAGGTCATAGGTCATTTTATACTCCCAGAATTTTGAGTGTCAGATTGCTTACTCTGTCTCTATTCACAGGTCATTAAAATTTTTCCTATTCTGTACATTGGGTAAATTGAAATATGGTGAGGATTAGGAAATGTAGTTTGAGTTAACAGTAAAAAAAGAAATAAAAAAGATGTGTATTCATGGACACAGGGAGGGGAGCACTACACACTGGGGTCAGTTGGGGGGAAATAGGGGAGGGACGGTGGGGGGTGGGAAGCTGGGGAGAGATAGCAAGGGGAGAAATGCCAGATGTAGGTGATGGGGAGGAAGGCAGCAAATCACACTGCCACGTGTGTTACTATGCAACAATTTTGCATGTTCTTCACATGTACCCCAAATCCTAAAATGCAATAAAATAAATGGGAAAAAAAAAGATGTGTATTTAGGAATAGCATAGCTCTTTTCCCTTAAGCAGAAAGATGCTGCTTTGCTAGTCAGTTGTGGAAAGCCATCTGGAGGTGTCATTCTACCAACTTGTGTGTAGTTGTGACTCACATGGCTTTATCTGATTATAGCCTGCAAACACTTGATGAGAACTGGAGGCGCAAGTAGAGGTTGGAGATGCTGGAGAAGGAAGTTTCTTTGTAAAGGTTTAGGTAAACAGTAACCGCCTTAGAGATTATCTTTCCTCAATTAAATACTTTTTTTGTTATAAAATACCTTGTTTTCAAGTGTCTTGGTTCTTATTGTTTAATAAAAAGAAATTTCCATGGATTTGAGTTTCACTCCTGAAGAAAAAGTAAAATCGTCTGTCTGTCTGTCTGTCTACCTACCTACCTACCTACCTACCTATTATATATCTATAAATTTTCCAAAATTAAGCACACCATAAAGTAAAATTTCCTTCTCATTTTGTGATAGGTTTGTAACCAAATTATTGGAAGACCTCATCTTCTTTGTTGCTAATGTGCCTAATAATGGACAAGAAGTTCTGGATGTGGTTATCACTAAGCCAAACCGAGAGCGTCAAAAATTGATGAGGGAACAAAACATACTGGCACAGGTGAATTTTTTCATATACTAAATTTGTATATTTTATTTTCTGAATTATAGTATCAGGAAAGTCCTTGTAGTAGTTATCTATTGCTATGAAGCAAATGATCCCAAAACTTAGTGGCTGGAAACAAGATACTTCTTATCTCGCAGTTTCTGTGGATTAGTGATCTAGGCATGGCTGACATGGGCAGATCTCACTCAGGGTCTCTCACCAGGCAGCAGTCAAGGTGTTTGCCGTGACTTCAGGGATCTCAAGGTTCAACTGAGAGAGGTCTCGCCTTCCCGGCCCCCTCACATAGGCATCTCACAGGAGTACATCAAGACAAGGCAGCTTGCTTTCCTTAGAACTGAGGGATCCAAGAGAGAGCTAGAGAGAATGCTCAGGTGGAAGCTACCATCTTTGTATAACCTAATCTTAGAAATAACATCAGTTCTACCGTGTTCTATTAGTTAGAAGTGAGTTAATAAATCCAACTTGTAGTTAAGGAGAGAGGATTCTATGAGGCTGTGAATATTAGGAGGCAGGAATATCAGGGGCCATTGTAGAGGCAGCCTACCATGGACCTGTAAAAACTCTGCATAGTCAGACTGTCTCAAGAAAATATGTGGAAAAATTCCTAGGTAGAATTTCCAGGTAAACTTGGAAAGTGCCATCTCCATCTGCTTCCTACTTGTTTCCTTCTCTTCCCTAAAAATGTAGAACAGTCTGTTCATCAGTTCACAAGTGCTCTGTACGATATTCTAGTCTTTTTCCCTGAAAGTACAGAGGTACTCCTATATTACATCTTCTTGAAATTCTTCATAACAAGTCAGTAAATTAATTCACTTCCTAATGATATGCACATATGGACATGCCTACGTTTGTGTATTCTTTTTATTCTATTAAATGCTATTTAAATTATTTTGTTAATTGCTATTTAAATTAAATTAGATTATTTAAGTTATTCTATTAATTGCTATTAAATTAAATTAATGCTGTTTAACATAAAATTATATAAAATTAATTACTGTTTGATAAATTAACATTTCTCTTAATCTATTCGAGGGCAGAGTGTATCACTGTAGGTTTCTTCATTAATGAAGTATAGATTCAAGGAACATACTTAAAACATAAAAATCATGTTATTGATATACATGTTCTTACTGATTTGGGAAAGGAAAATAGTAGACGTAATATTGGTTATATGTGGCTGATTGTCTGAAAATAAAAAATTGACTTTTTTCTCAAATAAAGGTTGTAAATCTAATAGGTCTTTTTTCAAAAACAAAGTCTCACTTTTTTTCAAGTAATTCTTTTATAAAAACATTTAATTTCAAGACTTTTGGGACCTTGAATGATTTATTAATATTATTTTAACCAACATATGTCAAATATTTTATTTTTATATTATACATATAAAAATTAAAGGTTTCGTGAATATAAAATTATTAAAGAAACTTTAGTTTATATTGTATTTCATGAATTGCAAAGAATACTTCCTTTCTGTCTTGCTTTCATGTATTAATGCTCATGTCCTTGACTCTGTGCCCTTTCATAGACAATTTCCTCATTCTAGCAGCTCATCTCAGGTGATCCCACCTGCTGTCTTGCTGCCGAAAAGAGTTATGTTCCTCAGTGCTTTTTAAATGCTTCCTAACCACTAACCTTTTTACAAGAATCTGGCTTGCTGGGTGCCACCAGCTGCCCCCGTGGCTCCTAATTTGTCACATTTGAATGCTGATACGTTCATTGATTTGGCCACATCTTTGTGTACAAACAACAGTAAATTAAGTCTTTTATAAAGTAGTTTAGAAGCAATGTCTGGAAGTCATTTTCTGATGTCAGTTTTAATAAAAAGTAAATGTTTTCTTCATATTATTTTGATTTTGAAAGGTTGTAGAAAATATAAGTCTGTAGGAATCAAACTACATTTTAATTCATCTGAATGTGTTCATGTACATATTGGTACAATTGAACACATTTAGTTTCTTATTTTATAAAATATAATTTCTAAACAAAATTAAGCGTTTTATTTAAAGAATGTTTTTGTCACTCAATACAGGAGACTGTTTTAGCAGTGCCTTTCTAATCCATGATATGTTGGTCCTATAACGTAAATCCTTTTTGCTTTTCCCCTTTACACTAATACTACTCAAATTTATGTGAGTGTTTTTTGAATCAATGTTCTTATTTGTTAAAAAAAAAAAAAAAAAAAGGTTGTAAAACATGTACCTCCATTCATCAGACAAGGTGGCTGTTTTTATTCCTGATAGGTATTTGGAATTCTTAAAGCACCCTTTAAGGAGAAAGCGGGAGAAGGCTCAATGCTGAGACTTGAAGATCTGGGGGATCAAAGATATGCACCCTACAAGTACATGCTTCGGCTCTGCTACCGCATCCTGAGACATTCTCAGCAGGACTACCGGAAAAATCAGGTCAGAGAGTAGCGCCCATTTTAAACTGTTTCATATTTAAAGTATGGGCAAGGTTCTTTGGTTATAATTCTACAGCATAGAAAGTAGGAATGGGAAATTTCACTTTGAAATGAAATATTTTGTATTGAGGAATACATAAAAATGATTTGTAGGTATTTTTGAGTTGTATTGAACTTGCCTTTATTCTTCCATATGAAATTAGAATCACTGGGGGAGGATGTCCTAAGTACTAACATATGCCTGGTGTTGCCTTCTGGAGACCAGGGCATCCTGGTTCTATTATGTAAAGAGAAATGGAACATTTTTGGCTTGAGGTAATTGTTTAGTGGAAAACATATGATGTGAGACAAAGAAGGGACAGAAGAGAGAAAAGATAGAGTTGTGGGAATTCACAAGAGGGAGAGCTCAGTGGTGGCTTTGGGATCCAAGGAAGGATACTTGGAGAAGGAAGCCTTTGAGTAGGATGAGAATCATTTTCATAAATTGTATGAGAAGAGGTATTTATGAAGAGAGATCTTTGAAGTGAGAATGAAAGATGCTAGAAAGGGCATGTTTTCCCTAAGGATCTAGGGGTACAGTTAAGAGTTGCCAGTTGCAAGTGAAATTTCTCTTAAGTCTCATTTTTATTTTAAAAATACAAGCCAGGTGTGGTGGCTCAAGCCTGTAATCCCAGCACTTTAGGAGGCCAAGGTTGGGGGATTACTTGAGGTCAGGAGTTCTAGACCAGTTTAGGCAATATAGTGAGGGCCCCATCTCTATAAAAACAAAAAATAACTGGGTCTGGTGGTGTGTGCCTGTAGACCCAGCTACTAAGGAGGCTGAGGCTGGAGGATTGCTTCAGCTCAGGAGTTTGAGACTGTTGTAAGCTATGATCTCACTAGTATTCTTTAGCCTGAGCAGCAGAATGAGACCCTGCCTCTTAAAAAACAAAACAAAACAATCACAAGCTTAATATTTTGCCATGTGTCCAATAATGTAAATGTCTGTTTAACATAAAATTATATAAAGTTAATTATTGTTTGATAAATTAGTGTTTCTCTTAATCCATTTGAGGGCAGAGTGCATCACTGTAAGTTTCACTAACAAGTTTGGTCCATGAAGAAGGATGGTGTGGGAGAGGGCTGGAAGGGCAGGGCGGGCAAAGCCACTAGGGCCTAAGATGTCAACCCCAGAGAGTGGAGGTTATTTGGGAATAGTTAGTAGTATTTATTGTGTGCTTACTTTGTACCAGGCTCAGTTCTAAGTACTTGTCATGAATTAATTCGGTTAATAATGAATTAAGATGAAGGACAGAGGCACATAGAGGTTATATAACTTGTACACAGTGATAGTTTAAGAATGGAGCCAGTATAAAAACCCAGACTCTGAATCATCACACTATTCCATCTTGGTAGTCTGAACATTGTCGGGGAATAAAAACGATTTGCTTTAGGAAGACTATGTTAAAATATTTTGGCTTCATAATTCTGTTTGAAGAATAAGAAAGGTCTGCAAAGAGTATGTAAAAACATTAGCTAGAAGATAAATAATATGGCAAGGAATAGGAGTAAGAGCAAGGGGATGATACAAATAAACCTTAAATATTATCTAATATGATCCTAGTTATAAATACCCTTCTTGCTGATCCAAATGCTGTCACTAGAATTATTTTTCCCAACTTCATTGTGTTCCTTTAAGATGGCAAGATGAAGTAGATAGTGTTGTTCATATTTTTTTTGAAAAAGAATTAAGTACCAGAACATTAAATGCTAGACCTTCAAGCACTCAGAGTCAGTGTTGTGGGCTCCCAGTGTCAGACCCTGAGTTCTTAGTGGAGGTCTGGAGTGGGGAGGGCAATGAGAGAGGCTATTTAATGTTTTCTCCTTGCTCTCATTTTTCTTCTTGGCTTTGGAGAAATATGCTTGCAAGACAGGTTACCACTTCACACATACAAGCAGTTCTGTATTATAGAGATTGAAATTAACAGAAAAAAACCTAATAGATCTACAGAGGCTATCCAGGGCCGTCAGGCCCATCAGATCCCACAATGTGCACCCTCCCTGATGGCTGTCAGCCTTTGGAAGGGTGCTTGGGACCCTTTCCCTTTTCTACAGCCCTGTGTTTCGGGATGGCAGGGAGCCAGATAACTTTGGATTTGGCTATTCCGCTAGTCACTAGTAGGTTCCCTGAGCTGCATGTCTTAACTGGTGTCAGTTCTGTCTCTCAGGGTCTGGCACACATGGTTCTTCCTCATTCCCCTCTCAGTCTTGGCCAGGAATCAGTGTGTGCGTACACACACACACACACACAGACACACAAACACACACACCCCTACACCTTCCTAGTCATATCACTCCTTTCAGGTACATGTTTATGCACTTTAGGGACCTGATTTCTGGGTTTCTTTGGAGCTTAGAGATGGAGCATAGATGATAAAGGAATAAAGAATCCCTAGCATTTGTTGAGGTTTAGATTTTATTTTTCTTTCCTTTCTGTCATATGTTCTAATTGAATCTCAGTGATAGCTGAGAAATATTTTTCTCATTTCTATTGAATTAAGAATGCTTTGCAGTAAGCATAAAGCAGCTTTCTGATGTTTTAGAACATGATTTAAAAATGTTCTGTATTATGTAGTATATATTATATAGTATTATGCCTACAATTACTTTGTTTTATCTTCACCTATATGTTATAGCTCTAAAAGGAAGTTCATATTTGACTTAACACTAACCCATATATTTAATACTGAGTCTCTATTTATTACTATTTATAAAATTGTTACCATCCCTAATTTTATTTGGTTATTTATTAACGTCTTCGGATGTTTGCTTTATGCCAGAGTTTGCCTTAGCCTACTATAGTAGTCATAAAAGTGTGTAAATCAATGTGAATCCTTAAAATGATATACTGACAGAAGACATTTACTGTACTTAACTGGCTACCCAATATACCAAACCATCATTCTGAAAGGCCATGAAAATGCTACCTAGAATTTAATTAGATTTGTGCAACCAATATCATTTTCAAGGAATAGGTACATTCTTGTAAATTTTACGTAAGGCAAAACCACTTTCTAATCAATAAATTCTCTCCTCATAGAAAAAAAGACACATTTCCAAGGAGAATCCCAAGGAATCAAAGTGAGAATGTTTCATGGTGGAAGTGGGTGAAGCTCACCAGTTCCATGGCAGTGTGAGATATGCTGCTTGTAGAACAGGGGAGATGGACAATAGTGGTTTGGGATATAGAAAAATTAGTGTGATGAGTAAGGAGTAGATCAAACAATAACATGATCGAACCTACCCAGTGGCTTTCTCTTACTTTTAGAATGACCTCTTTGCCCTTTACCATGGCTCACAGGATTCTTTTCACCTATCTCTCCAACTTCAACTTTGCTTTCTGCCCCTTACTACTGCCTAGTTACAATGGCCACCTTCTGTTGATAGAGCACAGGCTTGGTTCTACTACCACAGGGCTTTTGCACTGGCTACTCCCACCGCCTAGATGGCTTCCCTCTAGGCCTTTCAGTGGCTGCCTTGTTCTCTTCATTTCCATCCTAGCTCAAATGTCACTTCTTCAGCATCTACCCTATCTAACGTTGACAGCTTTCTCCAGTCCTCTGTTTGTTTCACTTCACTTGTCAACATGGAATGGAATGTAGTAGGTTTTCGAGAAACATTTATTGGGCAAATGAATCTAACCAATAAAGTGATTAATCACATTGCCCTTTATAGCTTTTTAAAGATGAAAAGTGTATGACATTTTACCATTATTTTAAAGAAAAGAGCTTATAGATAATTGTAGCATATACACAAAAAAGGAATCAACCCAAGTCCATCTAAGACCTTCATGTAACAACCCAGATCCCATGTCTCATGAATGAGATATCACGCAGTCATTTTCTTTTCTATAATTATGCCCAAGTCCTTGGCTATGCCTTTAAGCAAGAGATAGAAGAAAAGCCAATCTGAAGTTATTATGTTATAAAAACTTATTTTAGATTAATTTTTTTCCACTTAGACTGTAAATACCTATATTAAAAATTATTTCTAGGTGAACAATTTTTGGTAGAAGTTAAATAATATATATGCCAGTATGTTTTCATTCACTTCCTCAAAAATCTCTATTTATTGAAAAATTATTTACTTGCTTTTCTTTTGAGAAAACTTTTAGTGAATTTTCTGTTATGAATAAATTAATCAATGTTGTTGATCCTAATAGAACCTGTTATTTCTAAGCTGTTGGCAGTGTGTTCTGACAGCCTTTCTTCTTTGCAGGAATATATTGCTAAGAATTTCTGTGTCATGCAGTCCCAGATTGGCTACGATATTTTGGCAGAAGATACTATCACAGCTTTATTGCACAACAACAGAAAACTACTAGAGAAACATATCACAGCAAAAGAAATAGAAACATTTGTCAGTTTACTCAGGAGAAATCGGGAGCCAAGGTTTGAAATGATTCATGCAGTATTCTTTTCTAGTGGAGATGAGGCTTTATGTTTTGTTTTTAGAACTTTTAAAAGTTAGAATGCTTTCATATCACTAACTTTTATGGACAAATTATGTTGGGATTATTGCTATAATAATTGTATATAATAAAGAGTTATTACCTCATAAGAGATCAAAGCCCTTTATGGATATACTTAAGTGTGGTTGATTTTCACTCTGAAACCTCATCATTTCATAGACCTTTATGGTTTCTCAAAATACATTCATATACATGATCTCATTTAGATCCTTGCACACTTGTATGAGATACACTGGTTGTATATTATTATCCCCATTTTAGAGATGAGAAAATGGAAACCTAGAGAGCAACTTGCCCAAGTGTACCCTAATAGGAATAGAATATGAGGTAAATCAAGGGTTTCTGATTCCACATCGAGTTCTTTTTCTGTTGTACCATGCTGCCTTATCTTGAAGAAATGAGTGCAGAAAAGTCAAGCCAATTGTTGGCAGTTTCTTAGCTAATTAGTACAGCAAATAAATGCTAGAAGGTAGAAATGGGCTTCTGACTTGACCAGATCATAGTCATTTTCATTAGGCATGTGCTCTATTTCTATTTTATTCAGTACAGCATTAGCTTTGATCTGCTTTTGTTTTGATATTCAGCTCTGGGAGACTCACTTTAGGACAGATGAATGATTTTCTAAACATAAGTCACGGTGCTGTGGGAGGAATATCATAAAATAAATAGAAGCGAACACATCTTTTTTGAAACAAGGCTTGTATTAAAAAGAATTGTGTGTTTAATTTGTTTCTAATGATGTAGTAGTTAACACATTAGACAAATAGGTGGAAATAATATTAAAAAATTTAATAAGTTTATTTTGTTAAATTCCAAATTATGTATTTATTGTGATGCTTTTATAAAATGCTTTGTCTTCATATTCCATTTATTTTTTTTTCCTTTTGCCAGATTTTTGGATTATTTGTCAGATCTGTGTGTGTCTAATACCACTGCTATCCCTGTAACTCAAGAACTCATCTGTAAATTTATGTTGAGTCCAGGCAATGCAGACATTCTCATTCAAACTAAGTAAGCCCAGATAATGGATGCATCTTTCTCCTGTTGATTATTTGTAAGCATTGTAGTTTTTGTCATATTTACAAGTACACTTCTTAGTAGATTTTTGTATGTGCTATTTATTTGAAGGGTGGTCTCAATGCAAGCAGACAACCCCATGGAGAGCTCCATCCTTTCAGATGACATTGATGATGAAGAAGTTTGGCTCTATTGGATTGATAGCAACAAGGAACCTCATGGCAAAGCTATTAGGCACCTTGCTCAAGAGGCAAAAGAAGGCACCAAAGCTGACTTAGAAGTTCTTACCTATTACAGGTTAAGTATTGTAGACAACCTTGTAATTGCCAATCTCACATATTAATTGAGAACTGGTTCGCTGGTATCTATGAAGAGGCAATTTTAAAAGTCATATGAGAACTAGGGTAGCTGAAATATTTAGTATTATTTTAAATATTCAGAATAAAATTTAACATTTATATTTTGTACATATACCACTTGCAATTTCCTGGTTTTCTACTAGCTTGGAATTATTGTGCAGCCAAAGGGTTTGTCCTCCTATTGAGTAGAGTGGAGACAGTTGAGACACATGTTAGAACCTAGGTCATGGAGTTGAGAGGGATGTAGACATGGGGCTAAGGAAATTGATTTGGCCACAAGGGTAGCTCAGAGCAAGTAAGCCACAAGTTTAGTATAGAGTGGTTTATGGATATGTGGTGACCTAGGGCTTAAGAGAAATTGGTGCCTGTAGTTATGAAAGTTCTGCACTGGAATATGGCAGCGGAAGTACTGAAGGCAGTTCCTGGTGGTCAGTACATTGGGAGCAAGAACCTAGCTGGCATCTTTGAGTTGTAGGGATAGAAACCCAAGGCAGAAGCCCTGGGGCCAAGCTGGGCCCAAATGACAAGAATCAGAGAAAAACAGATGATGCCTTATATTCCCTGGTTTCTGCAGCTACAGCAACCAAACCAAAGGTGAATTCTTAATCTCAAAACTGGGCTGATGAAGCCAAGTGCACTCAGGCCATTTGGACTGATCACTTTTGGTTTGGGAATGGAGCGGGGTGCAACCTGGCTTGTAGATACTAGAGCCTGAAGCTGAATGAGGCTGGGGAAGGTGGAGAGATGGTTTCATATGAGCTGTTGCCCATAGCCTTCAGCCTGAATGCAGTATTTGTAATGCTAGGAAACCGAGAATGGAGTGCCTAGAGACACTCTCCAGCAGACACATGTTGCTGGAACAAGTGAGAAGAATTGTAACTGAAGGGACATAGAGACAGTTTCATATATGTCTTGTTGTTTGCTCTTAATGATTAAAATACTATTGGAGTTTGACTCCAATATCACCAATGCTTAGAAATATAGGTGTCTTAAATGTAGATACTGATTGGTGCCATGTTTAAAAACTTCCTCAAGATAGGACAATAATGTAATATGTACACTATTTTTAAGGTACCAGCTAAACCTCTTTGCAAGGATGTGCTTGGATCGCCAGTATCTGGCCATAAACCAGATTTCTACACAGCTCTCTGTAGACCTGATCCTGCGGTGTGTGTCGGATGAGAGCCTGCCATTCGACCTCCGAGCGTCCTTCTGTCGCCTCATGCTCCACATGCACGTTGACCGGGATCCCCAGGAGTCCGTGGTACCTGTTCGCTATGCCAGGCTCTGGACAGAAATCCCCACAAAGATCACAATTCATGAGTATGTTTGGAAAAATGTCTTGAGGCTTTGGAATCTAGCAGATGAACTCCACATCCAGTGTCTACAGTTTTGAAATGAAACATGTGGAAAGGCATTTGTGTGTCCTAACTTGGGTTGTTACTCTTCTAAATACAAATAAGATACTCTTTTTGAGGGATGAAGTGATAACTCTCAGTGATAATAAAGGCACTTTCTGGAAAACAGGAAAGAAGTAATATTGATGTAATGAGCAATAATTTAAGTACCAAATACTGTGGTAGACTGACTTAACTGCTTTACACATACTAACTCATTTCACAACAGCCCCATTTTATAGGTGAGGACCCTGCCCCTAGGAAGGCTAACTAATTTATCCAAGATTATGAACCCAGGAAACTAAAGCGTCTGTGTTTTCCTATTTTTAAATGATTACAATCAGTTTAATTTGCATTATTTTCTTTATGTATTTCCAGATACGATTCTATAACAGACTCTTCCAGAAATGATATGAAGAGGAAATTTGCCCTGACAATGGAATTTGTTGAAGAATATTTGAAAGAAGTTGTAAACCAGCCCTTTCCTTTTGGGGATAAAGAAAAAAATAAATTAACATTTGAGGTACTTTTCCCCTTTCATACTTAGAATGTTTTAGTAATTGGGTAGTTTAGTTCATGAGATGTGATTTTTCTCTGCCATTTTAAAAAGATAGATTTGGGAATTATTAAGGAAGATGGCCATTTAGGAACAGCTCAGGATTGCAGCTCCCAGTGAAAGCACAGAGGGTGAGTGGACGCCGCATTTTTATTGCCCACAGACTAGGCAATTCCCAGGCGGAGGAGCTCCACAGGTCGCCAGCGCGGCTGTGCTGGCCGGCACCGCGGCTGTGCTGGCCGGCACCGCTGCTTTGCCCCGCGTGGCTGCTTTGTCAGCGCCCCAGAGCAGCGGTTCTCCGTACAAAATACACTGGTCTGGGTGCCCTTTTCACTGGCGATTGGAGCCACGGGAAGTCGCCCATTCGTC